AGCCGTTGGCCGAGCCTTGTTCAAAAGTAAGTCGTCTGTTGGTACTAATTATCAGAAAACACTGGCCTTCCAGGTTTTTAGAACCACCACTCCCACATCCTTTTACCACTGGCCATAACAGCTGGGGCTTCTGGGAGCTGAAGTCCAAAACACTTGGAAGGTCAAAGGCTTTGTCGGAGAACATGCGTTGTGATAGAACATGTGCATCACATGTTGGAGGAGATGGTACGAGAGAGCCACATCACGCTTTATGCATAATCCCAAAGCCTTGGGGTTCCAATAGTGATTGATGCAATGCTCTACATAGCTGCAAAAGGCCACAGCTCACTGCCTGATCACCAGAGATCTCTATCAAGCTTTACATAGTGATCATGTTGATGGACTCAAGCTGGCAGAGTAAGTGTGAAAAATCTCTTTCCCACTGCCACCACTTCCAGAGGGGTTGGCTATATATTAGTCTGTTGCAAGAGAAAGGAGAGGTCTCGCAACCCTTTAAACATCAATTGCTATATTACAGCATTAGCTATTCTAGATTCCAGTCCAGGGAAAATGATGCCATAAATATTTGTGTGTATGTGTGTGTGTGCTTATGCTCTCGCGTGATGAAAAAAAAATCACTTTTAAAAGCAAAAATAAGGCATGGAAAATTAATTCACAAGCATGAAAACAGCATGCACAGAACACGGAACAGTGCGCCCTGGGCTTGCTCAAGTTTCATCACAAATGTGGTCTCTGAGAACAGAGATACAGTGCAAAATGTGGAACACATGTGCATGCACGAGACATAGGGACACTCACAGGAAGAGGGAAGCACCCAGCCAATGCCTCTGTGTCAAGTATGGCCATGCTGTGTGTAAACACTCCAAGAGGTCTCTAAGGGGTGAGGATGTGAGCGTGTGAGAGCTGGCGCTGCAGACAGTACCCTCCAAATGAAACACACACAAAGCCTTATGCTGTACACACCACTCTCACCACATATACACACACACACATTTCCCAGTCTGGATCTAGTCCCTCCCATTGGTGATAAAAATAGAGACAGGCTCCAAGTGAGCGCGGGGAGATGGTAGTCTTGGTTACCAGTTGCCGAGAGACTGCAAACTGTACTTGTGATGCTGCAGGGGAGCTGCAGGCAAGGCCTTGGGAACGGGGGAAGCACATGCCATGCTCTTGCCCAAACCTTGTGGGCTTAGGTCGGCTCCTCGGCCGCCCCAGCCGGGCCCTGCTTTCCCTCAGCCTCTTAGAGGAGATCTAGACAGGGAGAAGCCTCTGCCCACAACTCAATAGTGCTCCACAACTTGCTTGCCACCAACATCCAAAGAAAGGTGGAAATTCTCTTCCCCCATCATGAAGCTCGTGAGGATGACAACGAGATTTGAAACCGTCAGGGAAGAATGAGAGTCTCTGGATCTTGCAAAGACAGAGAGCATTCACGGAATGGAGCGCACGGAAAAGTTAACCTCAGCCAGATCCTTCTGCGTTGGTGTCTGTTGCCACATTCCTGCACCCAAGAGATGAACCTCAGCCAGATCCTTCTGCGTTGGTGTCCTGCACCCAAGAGATGGCCCGCCTGATGTGCATTCAGGTGCAGACAGAAAGGCATGTGCCAGAGATTTATGCAGACTGGTATACATGCCTTTATTTGCCTGGGTAAAGACGGTTATGTTAATGGAACAGCAGATGTTACATAACTGTTCCTGACACCAGCCATGTACGTGTCCACACAGACAGATAAATGTACTGTAAAGCTTGAGCCCATGCACCATACGTTGCCCGGTCAGCCTGCACGTGGAACGGCGAAAACCACCTTGCCATGTACGTGTCCACACAGACAGATAAACGTACAGTACTGTGCAGCTTGAGCCCATGCACCATACGTTGCCCTGTCAGCCTGCACGTGGAAGGGCGAAAACCACCTCGGTGTCCGCCCCGAGGAATAATCTGAAACGGGTCTCTTAGATGTAGGCTTACTGCAAATGCTTCCACCCAAATTTCTCAAAACAGGAGGCTGTGGTAGCCACGATCTGCTGCAGTGAAGAAAATGCAAGGAAAAACCACAGGGCCGCTCTCTCAAAGACAGCGGCTTCCTATTTGTAGGCACGCCTGCTCTGTGCTCCCCTCGTAGGCTATCCAAAGCCCTTTAGGATAAGTCTGAAAATGCAAAACCCTTCTTAGCACGGGCGAGCAGGATATTAATCTTAGCATGTCGGTATAACAGCCCTGAGGAAGAAAGAAAAAAAAAACAAGAGACCATCATAAGTCTGAAAATGCAAAACCCTTCTTAGCATGGGTGAGCAGGATATTAATCTTAGCATGGCGGTATAACAGCCCTGAGGAAGAAAAAAAAACACAAGAGACCATCACGGATACTCGTCCAGCTTGCAATGTATACCTCAGCCAGTCTGGGATGACACAGATAACGAGAAAAAAATGACACACACATAGACACACACCCCGGTTCACAAGCGCTTCCCTGGCTGGGGACGGTTCCCATGAGCAGCTATTTACAAGCCTTCAATAACTCTCCCAACCAGCTGTCGTAAATCGTGCGGTGCCTGGAATCGCCTCGCAAGAGGAAAGAACAACACCACGAGCTCAAACTGACCCAAACTGGTGCTTAAGCAAACTCGTTTACGCTCCTGGTCCCTGCCCTTCAAGGAAAGCCTCCCTGCTGCTTTCATGTGGACGGGACCGAAAAAGAGGCTCCACTTCAGGCCTTCAATGAATTCAGACAAGGAAAAATACTTGCTGTTGTTCTACAGATTCAAGGCTACTTTTAGTGAAAGGTTTATTTATGTTCGAGTGAACTTTGGGTCCCAGACGGGGTTTATTTGGGCCATGATCTAAATCAGTGGTGTCCAACCTTAGCCCTCCAGATGTTCTTGGACTTCATCTCCCAGAAATCCTGGCCAGCAGTGGTGGTGGTGAAGGCTTCTGGGAGTTGTAGTCCAAGAACATCTGGCCTTCAAGTCTTCACTACCTGCTTATGGAAGCTCCCAGCCAGCCGTGCTGAAGACGGGAATGCTGCCCTGGTGATCCAAAGCTCCTGGCAGGTCACTGGTAGGCAGAGACCGGAAGCATTTGTGGTTTGAACTACAGCTCCCAAAATCCCCAGGCCATAGGTTGCGTGGGCCTCTTCTCTGCCCAAGAATGAAACTTGGGGAAACCGCGGGCTGCACATGAACAATTCAGGAGAGCTGACTATAGCAGTGGTTGGACTCGCAACCTTGGACTGCAACTCCCAGAAGCCTTCACCACCAGCACAGCTTCTGGGAGTTGCAGTGCAAGGACATTTCGGTTACCCAAGGTTGGGAACCACTGAACGGATTGCCTCCTCACACACAATTTCCAGGGACTGGGGTTCGAATGCAGAAGATCTGCACCCATCCATTTTCCAAAGTGGGGGGGGGAGGAAAAAAAACTGAGAGGCTGCATTCCACGGGTCCCCTTCTCAAGCCACCTCAACCCTGGGCAAACATTACTCTCCCTTTCTTGTTCCAGGCTCAGATTCTATTGTCTACCAAACAGGATTATTTGAGACCTTGAGTAAAATCCAGCTCAAGCCAAGTTTGTTTTCAACGACAGAATTAGCAACGCACTATAGTCTTGCCACCAAAATCAAAGGAACAGAGAAGCTTCATGACTTTGTGACATGAAGCCAAGACAGGAATGTACGGGGAGGAGAGAAGACCTATTAGCCACAGCGGCAACATGAAACTTCTCTAGACAGTTCTTCCCTCCCCTCTTGCATTTGTTTGCTCCGTTATTGAAACATCCAGCCTGCAGGAAAGAGGCGGCTAGTACTGGGACAGGGGTGGTGAATGTGTAAACCTTCCATGTGTCAGTGTACTACAACTCCCACCGTTCTTCACCAAGAACAATAGGAACTGGAGTACACTAACTGATGGGAATGGCAACCCAACAATGTTTGGAAGGCCACGAACTGCCCACCCCTTCAACTTCAGAGTCCTGCCACAGAGGTCTTATGTGAATGGTATTATCTGCCTCCAGTTGCTCTCCACCTAAAATGGCAGTGTAATCTTAAAAAGTACACAAACAAGCTACTTATCCTCTCTTCCTCTGCATCACAGTACCATATGAAGGTAGCTTCCCCCCACCCTCCCACCCCATTTCACAAGCTGGCTGCCTGAGACATGGGTGGCAAAATATAATCTTATAAGGGACAGGGCTGGAACTCTCTCGTTCCTATACTTGGGTCCCCAGGTGTTTTTGGACTAAAACGCCCAGAAGTCTTCGCCATTAACTGTGCCAGCCAGGATTTCTGGGAGTTGTAGTCCAAGTAGATCTGGGGACCCACACTTGGGAAACACTGCTCTAGTGGTATAGCAAGAGCAGTAGAAGCACCTGGAAATGTTAGTCATGGACTACAAGTCCCAGGATCCCCTAGCCAGCAAAACAACCTGCTGGGAGAGATAGAGAACAAGTATATTTAGGCTGAGGAAGAGAACAGGCCTTCTCTGCTCTAGAGTATTCCCCGGGTTCTTCACTGGGTGCAGAGCTGAAGTGGCCAACTCTTGCTTTCTGGACTTCATTCCCAATGCTGGCTGTAGGATTCTGGGAACTATAGTCCAAAAATGTCCTCTCTCTCATGCAGGGGTGGTCTGTAGTGTTTCAACGCTCTTCAATCAGCCTGCTATCTTGCCTATATGCAATTCCCGGTCACTTGTGGCGACCAGGCTAGTCCTTCAAAACTAAGCAGTGCAAAAGGCAACGCCATCATCCTCGGCATGACTCACCCTGAGAACAACGCTGCTACGACATAGCCAGACTCACCCAGAGAAGTGGAAAAAGAGGAGGTACTTGTAGTAAAGCTGACTACAAGGAAAAGCATGTGTGCTTATCTGCTCACCTCCTCTCCAGATTTATTATTTAAAAACAAAAACAAAAACGTGTTTACTCAGTTTGAGAAAGTGCAAGGAGTCAGACTGAGAAGTACACCATGCCAGACAAAATCACGAGAAAGAAGCAACCGGTCTTACCTGTGCCAGGTCTTCCCATGATGATCTCTTTCTTTGGTGCAGGATGGCCACTATACTCGCCAGGGACGATGACTGGCAGGAGGGCTGCTGGGGAGGGGTGGAAGGCAACAGGCTGGAAGGGGGAGGAGACGCTGAAAGCAGGCGGGGCTTGTTCAGTGGCCGAGACGGCACTGGGCTGACTGGAAGGCAGAGTCCGGCCCACATTTATAGGCACTGGGACCTGGAGTTGCCCCTTGCCTGGCAAGTGTTCCTTGGAGCCAGCTTTGCCCATCCTTGGGCTGCCCATTCGCCCTTCCAAGGGCTTCTCCGTGAACTTGGAAGGCAGGGGCACATCCGGGTTGCGCACAATGACCGGAGAGTCCCTCTGCACGGCGGGCACCCTCCGAACCGTAGGGCTAGGGTCGGAGGTCAGTCCCGTCGGCTGGGGCATCAGGAGGAGCGGAGATGCCTGCTGCGAGCGAGAGGAAAAAGGCCCGGCTCCGGCAGGTGACACCGCCCGGAAGCCGGCTGGGGTGGAAGGGGTCGGGGTGTGCGAGACGGATTCTACGCCCGAGTCGAGGCTGTCGTTCTTGTGAAAGTCAGCGTTGGAGCCGGTGCTGCTGTGGTGGGACTCTGCTTTCCGTTTGCTTGGGCTCATGGGCACCGTGAAGGTGAGGTTGGTCTGGAAGGTGATGCCCGAGTGGTGGCGCTCCCGGGAGGTGGCATGGTGCAACATCTCGGGACTCAACACGGTGCCCCCTACCCCCTTTGGGGTGCTGGCACTCACGTGGCGGCTGCGAGCAGCAGCTGCTCGCTGGATGACGGGCGAGGCATTTATGGGGCTGAAGTTGGCTGGCCGGAAGCCAAAGAGAGGGGAGGGGGAGGGGGAAGGTGCGGGCGAAAAGGGGGACTGGTTGGAGACAGGGGAGAAAGAAGGGGTGCCTGAGCGAGAGCTGCCCAGAGAGACCAGCATGACAGCCGCTTCGCACTCGTCAAACTCGAAGCGGGACAGATCAGCAGGAGCCACCAGGCGAGGCCGGGAGTCCCCTCGAGCGCTGCTAGCCTCACTGTCTCTCGAGGTGTCGTCCCAATCAAATTCGGCGCTGCCGTCCCGCAACCCACTGGCCCGGCCTTCAGAGAGGCTCTCCATCTCCTTGGTACGCATGGAGAGGTGGCGGGAGCAATAGCCCCGCCGCTGAGACTCCTTCATGCAGCCTTCCCGGGAGCACAGCCGCCGCCACTGCTTCCCGTTGAACTTCTTGCGGATACCGTTGGGGGTGCACACCACGTCCCCTTTCTTATACTTCTGCTGGGCCGCCGTCAGGGGCGTGCGGGAGCGTGAGGAGCCCGGCGTGCTGCATTTGTCCACTGACATGACGCTGCTGCTGCGGCTTCCGCTCGCTTCGGGGCTCAGCAGAGGGGAAGGCTGCTCAGGGAGGCGGGGGAAGGCAGGCGATTTGGGCGGCGAGAGAATCTGGGGAGGCACCACCACGGACTTCTCCTCCACCCGCACACCGGCACTGATCTTGGAGACCTCAGCATCCTCGGGTTGCTTTGGTTCCGGGCAGGGAACAGCCAAAGCCACCTCCTCCTCTTCTGGCAAAGGAGGTGGCTTTTCAGGGGGTTTGTTGCCTTCAGGGGGGGCTTCACAGCTCCAAGGTGGGCGGAGGAGACGGAGAGCAGATCGTGGCACCCAGGCGGACTCTTTCCGAGCTGCCGCTCCCCCAACTCCAGGGAGCACCACAGGGCGGGCAAATTGTACTTTGTAGGAAGCCGGCTTGACGCTCACCTCAACCACTGTGCCTTCCCGATAAGCGGTCTCCTCGGGGTCTATGCAAGCACAGACAGGCGTGCCCACCGTCAATGCCCCTGGCGGCGGTGTGGCATCCAGGACCACATCCACAGCACCCGAGCCCAGGGCCCCTTCATAGTATGCTGTCACACGGTCCCCCACAAACTGCACCCCTAAGTCCTGCCCTCGGCGGATCTGCTTCACAATGGCGGGCTGGAACAGTCCCTCCCGTTGCGCCAGCACCCGCTGACAACGCAACTGCCGAAAATCGTACTCGTTTGGGGGCGTGCCCCACACGTCCCCCGCCACCTTGTCGTTCTCATCCGCAGAGTGTTCACTGGCTGTGTCCGTACTAGATGAGGGACAGCGCCGGGGTTCCTCCTCCGCGGGTGGCACAGGACCCTCACTCCCGTTTGATTCCTCAGTCCCTGGGAACTTCCTGCATGGTGCCCGGGATTTAAAAGTGGCTGTCTTACGGTTCAAAGAGGCTTCCACACCACAGGCCTCAGTCCCTCGGCCCCCTTCCCCCTCGGGCAGTTTATAGGGGTCCTCATGAGCTCCTGCCAGTTCCCGCAAGCTGGGGTCCATCTGCACTTGCATGCGCCGGGCACCCACAAACGCTGGCGGTTGATCTGGAGCCTCCTCCCCTCCAACTCCTTCCTCTAGTCTGGGACCCTCCTCCAGGGCTGTCTTGCGCTTCTGAGCTTTGGCCCGAGTAGAAGGCGGCGAGCGGCTGCTGCTGCTTGAAGAGGAAGAGGAGGAGCCGGCAGCCTTCCTCGCTGGTTTCATCTTCCCTCCAGGCTGGGTGTGGGTTCAGGGAGCTAAGGAGAGAAAAGACAGGGAGGAAGATTACAAGGGGCAACTCTGGGCTCTGCACGTCAAAACCTCAAGCAAGCCAACCATGAAACTTGCTTGAGAAGGACTGCAGGTCAATGGCTGGAAATCTGTTGCATAGGTTAGAAACTCCAGATTCTACTTCTGGTGCTCCCTCATTGAGAAAGGAAATGATTTTGCCTGGAATTCTGGGGAGCCACTGCTAGACACGGCTGACAGTACTGGGCCAAAAATGGATCAGTGGTCAAACCGATGACTTTGCTACAAGGCAACTTCTGATGTTCTCCACTCTGCTCTGTCACTCGCACTGTGGCGAGTGACAGAACCACTGCTCAATTTGCCGGGAGGTGGTGAAAGGCACAGCAGAACGGCCAGAAGCAAAGATGGTACGAAGCATGCATGGGGACATTTCATTCGGTTAGAAGCCCTTCCTTCCGAATGCCATTCCCCAACTAACCCATTTTTATGGATCTCTCTTGAGGCGGCTCAAGGGGGCAGCACAGGGGTGTTGCTGTTTTAAAAGCACAGAATGCAATGCGATGCGAGAAGATTTGGAAGCAATGGCCCCAAAGACCAATTTTTCCAGCCTTTATATTGTGACTGAGGCTTCCCCTTTTTTTAGCCCTTCGACCAAGAACCATGGTTTTAAAGTGAAGCCTGGGGTCCCATATCTTTTACAGAATGATTTTTTAAAAAAACCTCCTGGTTTCTACTGCCTTTTCCCTTCTCGAGCCCTAATTCCACTAAACAAAGCAAAACAGAACTCTTCTCCTATTTCTTATAGCTAAGAGGCAATGCTACTGATTTCCATGGCCTTCTGCCAAGTCCCGTTCTCTGTTATCCCTGCATCAGAATTCCTTCGATTTCAGCCTGATGGTACTAGAAAATGAAACCTATATTGACTTAGGTATTTACAGATGCGTGCCCAAAAGAGAATTTACTGTAAAGAAGGTCAACCGTTACACTCAGTCTGGAAGACATGAAAAGGGACCTACAGTACTGTAGGTCTAATGTCATAAATCCTAATTTCATTTTGAGAGATGTAGATTCCTTCTTCAGATGAAGGCCCTCCAGAGAAAGCAATCACAGAGAAGATAATCCTCTTCCATTACTTTTTCCCATTAGATTTTCATCAGTGTTAATACTGGGCAAGGCGGACACACTGAATTTAGGGCTCGTACAGAACACACGAAGTGCCTAATAAGAAAGGGAAAGTATTTTTGAAACTGGAAACTATGGTGACACCCAGAAGGAAATCCCCAAAGGACTCAAAACTCAAGCAAGCCTGCCCACCTAGACAGCCAGCTGTCCATCTCCACTGCAGGCAGCCCCAAAAACCAGCGTGGGCTTACTTGATCACATGATCAACCCATCTGCTCTATACTTTTGACCAGTTTAGGAAGCCATGGGCTATTCACTCTCCTTCACTGGGGGTGGGGGGGGGTGTCTCACTTGCAGCACCCCAGGTTTTGCAGGATTTATCTTACACAGCATTCGGGGGAAAGTAACCCCCTTTCCTCTCAATCACTTTCTCTTTTCTCCTCCCTGTATGCGTGGGGTGTTTGTGGAGGAACAAGAGATTTACTTGGAGGCCTGGGAAGAAGAAAAAAAATTGCCCGCACTTGCTGTTTCAAGTAGGGAGGAGAATGCAAAGGAATGCTGAAGCAACCCATCCGCTCGCTAAGCTAACTCGGTGGAGCAGGGACTGAGGCCAGATTTCCTGCCCTTCCTTCTCCCCCCACCTCCTCCTCCGAAAAGGGAGGGGCAAAAGGCTTCCTGGGAAAACAAGACCAAGCAGATTAATCTCAAGGACTGGCCCCACAGCGTCCCTAAGGCTTTCATTCTGAACTCCAATCATCAGCTTTCTTAACAAGGATCCTTGCAGATTCTTCAGCGCTGTCCTTCACCCTGAACTCCGTTGTGAAGCACTGGAAATGTTCCCCCCCCCAACACCTTCCCCTTTTATCCTAGTTTCCTCCATTTCTGGATGGAAAACGAATTGCCCTCGGTAGCCCTTCCTGCAAAGAACTAGGGCAGGCGTTTCATGACAGGGCGATGAAGGAAGAGCACTCTGCATATTCTCTTTTACCTCTTGTTCTACAGATTCCTGGGCTGAGCTTTGCCATCAGGAGAGATTCCAGAGGCAGAAGATGTAGGACCTCCCAAATACATGGATCCAGCCCAGCCTGGCATGACTGAAATCTCCCCCTTTCTCATGACAGCCCTCACTCTAGCTCCGTGCAAATCCCCTTTTCTCCTGCAAGAAATGTTCAGAAGGAAGAGATCTTCTCCCTGGCTACCTTGCAGCTCTCTCATGCACATGCGTGGCACCGTTTCTTCCGAACCTCCCCCCCCACTTCCCAGTCTTGTCCAACATCAACACAGTGGCAACTACTCCTTATCTTCAAATGGCATTTCCCAACTAGTGACCTTCCTCATCTCTCTCCCCCCCACCAGAAAAAAAAATGCCTTCAGAGATTGCAATCCTTCCACCCCATTCTCCTTCCTCTCTCCACTACCCCTTCCTAAAGACCCTCCCATATTATGCAACTGCTACCCTCACCAGCCCAGATCTCCTCATTTCCCCCCCCCCCAGCTCCCAAATGCATGCAACGTAGTGCCTGGGCCTTCCAGCCACACACACTCTCACAGTTTCTATCCCATAATAACTGGTGCTGATTCTCTCAGCCTGGAATCCTTCCTGCTTTAAAGCCTTTCCCTTTAAAAAAAAATGACATACTGTACTCTCTTCTTCCCCCCCTTCAGTTGATCTTGCCTTCGCCCCCCTCCCCAGCCCCCCCACCCTCAGGAAGGGGAGATGAGCAAAGTTGCTCTCTCTCTCTCCCCCTCCCCTGATCCCTTTTTTTAGAAGCAGAAAAAGAGGACACCTCCCTGCTGCCAGCTCCCTTGCAGGGAGGGGGGGTGAAAAGTTGTGGGCAATACAAAGTGGACGACAGAGCAGCTGCTGCCTCCTCCTCCGTTGCAACTGCGAGGGACCCCATTTTGTCACACCACACTTAGTGCCCCTCCGGGACACGAGGAGGAGTACAAAACTGGCGCATCCCACTGCCTTCTCCTCTTTCTTTGAAGACATCTGATGGAGATCTTACCCTTCACAGGTCCCCCTCTTTCCTCCCCTCCCCCGTGGGGGGGCGCCTTAGAGTTGGTACCTCCCAACCCTCCTTACCTGACCCCCCTTTCCAAGGAGTTCAGTAAAGCTGGGGACCTTTATCCAGGGAATCTTGGTACAGTCCAGTTTCTCCCCTCCCCCTTTCCTGGATGGTCCAGTCCGAGCCCCTCTCGGCCCCTCCGAGCCCCTTTTACTCCAACAGACAAAATGGTGAATGAATCTGGACCAGCTGGAACCGCCGCCCAATCAGCACCCACAACTCTTTGATGGATTCCCCCAACAGCCAATCGCTCTTCACCACAGGTTGCGCATTCCCCACCTCCCAAGACAGACATTGCCCATCGCCTATCAGTGCCCAAAGGGGGGCGGCGAGGCTCTTCGAAGAATCCCCTGCCCCTCCCTGGAGACGAGCACTTACAGTAGCCTGTAAAAAGACGAGCTGGCCAAGAAGTGGGCGAAGCTAAGCATACAGTAGCCAATAGGAGATAAGAGGTGGAGCGAGAACTCAGACTTGTTTACCTGGCCCTGGAAAAAGAGGAAGAGTGGAGCTTCCTTGAGCGTCATGGGGTTTGTAGTCCTCATAGACCATCGCTTCCAGTTTAGTAATCCGTGTAGTCCCCAAGGAAAAACTTTAATTCCCATGATGCTCCGCAAAAAAACCTGAGGCAGGAAGGGGAGCAGTGCTTCATGGGACTTGTAGTTTTTAGGCTGTTTTCCGTACCACGAATGGCCAAACCGGAGACGGGAAAAACATCAGTTCCCATCCCGCCTCCTGACTAAACACAAGTGTAATCAACGAGTTTGGCACGCAAAGCTTTCTGGCCCGAGTAGTTATGGGCTCACTAAAGTATGATAGAAGCAGCCAACAAGTTCTCATGAAAAGAACCACAACTCCCAGGATGCACCGCGCAGCTTCCAAAGGGAGGCGGCGCTGCCCGATGCTTCATGTGAGAGAAAAGTCTTCCGCGGGCTCTCCGTAGGAAAGGCGGCGGAATGCGAGGGTAAAAAAGACTAGGGCACCCATCGTGCTTTGCGGCAGGACCCCCGTCTCAGCAAGCCGAGTCTTCGCGCACGGCCTCCTGGGGGTTGTAGTCCACAGAGGCGATCCGCCTTCTAGGATGTCCTGGGGATTTCCCCCAGGAAATACTACAACTCCCATCAAGCTCCTCTACTAATTTTAAGTCCATCCCTTCCCCCCCCCGCAGGACTGCAAAGTACAACTCCTGAGGTGAGAGAGAGAGAGAGGGGTAGACTTCGTTCCCATCCCACGTCCCCTCGGCGGAACGTCTATTTGAATGTAATTTGCATGTCATTAGCATATTCATCAACTCACCCGGGGTCCGCTCCTGGCTTCTTTTGCTCCGGCCGGGGCCACTCGCGCTTCCCCTCAGCAACAGCGGAGCCGCCGCCGACAGCACCGCGGCCAATCAGCGCCCGGACCGGGATCCCCCCCTTCCCCACGTGGGGCAGGAGAGGCGGGGCCGGCCGCAGCCAATCCATGCCCGGGGCGGCCGAGGAATGAGGGAACCATGGCCGGCACAGCACCGCGGCCAATCAGCGCCCGGACCGGGATCCCCCCCCTTCCCCACGTGGGGCAGGAGAGGCGGGGCCGGCCGCAGCCAATCCATGCCCGGGGCGGCCGAGGAATGAGGTCACCATGGCGCGCTCTCATTGGACGCGGCTGCCAGACTTCCCAGCCAATCGAGAGGTGTGCTTTCTGCAGGACAAGAACAGGCGAGAAGTCGGGAGTTGGGTTCAGTAAGTGGAGGATGCGGCAGCTGATGCGTGTCGGGAGCCTTTGCGCGCCGGGGCGCACGTGTGAATGCAGCCCGCCCGGGCCACCCAGTTCCCAAATCACAAGACAGTGGAAGGCACTTCCTCTTTCCACCAACACGAACTTTGGCACCCCTTGCAGTTGTAGCTTCGCGCCAGAAGGAGAGCGTAGTGATGCAACTGGCTAGAAAGAGGCAACGCACGCTTTCGTGTCCAAAGCAGTTGCCCCGGGCGTGAGGCAGCTTTTAACCCTCAGCAAAAAAACAAAGAACGGAAGAAATGCACGTAGGCCTTCAGTCTGTAATGTAATCCACGCCTCTGCTGTGCAGTTCCTGACAAGAGGAGGAACGAGAAAGATCACACACATGCCAGGAAATTGCCCTGTAGACGTCTTGGCTGGTTTTTTTTTTTTAATTTAAGTTGCATAACATGTCTGGTCGTGCATAGGTAAGGATTTGTTTACTTGCAAATGCAGCGTTAAGCAGTTAAGATAGCAAAGCTGTGGGGGTTTTTGTTTTCTGCTGCTTTCTCTTCTTGAGAGTTTCATGACTTGGAACACCCAATCCCAAAGATTTTGTATTAAAGAAGTCTTCCCAGGGTTGCATTTTGATCCAGGAGTATCGGGCCAGAAGCACAGAGGGTGTGGGGGACCAAGGGGCAGCTTTCTGGGAAGGAGCTTTGCCGTCGGTCACTTTTAGGTTGGACACGGAGCCCAGTTCACTCTTAAAATAACTGTCCAGCCAAACTAGTTTTTTTGCCCAAGCCTTACATTTCAAATGGCCTTCCTTCCTTTGGGCTTGTCTGCCGAGACCTTCCTCGGCATGCAATTTGGGCCCCATCCCCTGGAGCTGGACATTCAAATAAGGGACTGATCACACGTGTATTTGGTCTCATATATGAGGTCCACCCCTCCACAGGATGGAAGCCTTTCCTTGTTCCTCTCTCCACACTCAGAGGAGATTGCCAATGCTCCCTTTCCATCTCCATATGAGTTACCCTATGCAATGAGTAGAGTGGCTGATGGGAGTCGGAGTGGGGAAGGTCACAGCTTTGTCTCAATAACAATAATGCAGAGCTGGAAGGGGACCCTATGGATCATTGAGCCCTTATGGAGGAGGCCCAGTGGGGAATTGAACTCCCAACCTTAGCCTCGGCAGCCAGATACCTCGACCACTGAGCTATCCAGGAGTTCTGGACACACACACAGAGTGCATTTCTGTAACTGGTAGGGAGGTGTACAAATTAAACAGCATAGGGAAGCATGACTGAGTTAAAACACAGCTGCTGGATTTTTGGTGCAGCCCTGCAGTTGAATTATGGCTTTGAATCATTGCTCTCTTTGCGCCCAACAACCTTTTGTGCACAAAGCATCTTAGATGTCCAAGAACTTGGGCCTGTGTGAACACGCTCTGTCTTTATTTTAGTTAGCTTTGACTCCAACCAGGCTGGATGTGATTTAAATCAAGGCAATTTAAATCATGGTTGTCAGTAAGACTTGATTTAAATCCTGATTTTTAAATATAAAGACTCATTCTTGCTGGTAGTTATAATCTTTAATATTTGCAACTAGTTGAAGATTTCATACTTAGAATAATAACTTGTCAGATTAGTAAAACAGTTGTATCGGAACAGATTTTTGTTTAATAGATTGATCACTCGTATTTGGAGAACTACATGAATTGTTTTATGTAACTAAAGCAATAACATATACAGTAGCATACATATTATTGTATTTACTTAAACACCAATGTGTTAGTTGTTACATAGATTTGTAGAACAACAATGGGATTAAGGTCTTTTCCTCTTTGTTCGTTTTATACTATTTTTACTGTTTTAAAAAATGCATGTTATCTCGGGTTGGATCACGTGGATTAATCAAATTAGTTTACCAAAAATGTAAATAGTCCATGAATGTACAGCTTCATGTTATATAACTAAGTTCTATTTCATGCTGAATAACCTTTGAACTTTAATGTATCTTGGATAGAGAACTATCTTTAAATAGATTTTTCCTTCAAAAGCATTTCATTAAAATACATTTAATTTAAATTTTAAAATCTGATTAAAAAAACTTAAATCATCGATTTTGAGCCACACTGATTCCAACATTCCAGACAGAGATATATATAATTTTAAGTCTGCAGCATTTTTAAAGAAACTACAAAAGAACCAATCATGCCAATTACGTAGTCGGTGTCACATGCAGGAGTACTGTATAGACAAAGGAGAACATAAAAATGACCTTGCTGGATAAACTATATAACCATTTAGACCAGTAGGCTGTTACCAAGGATGGAAAGCAACTGGAAGTGCTAAAGGCAATGCTAAATATTGGTTGCATCAGAAGCCTTGCATCAGGGAGAGCCACAGTGAATGAGTTCAGTGAAGGCTCAGGTTGTTGCTAAGTGCCAGTAAGATGGCAGTGTGAAAAACAGGGCAAAAGTTCCTCCATCTTCAATATATTGGGAGGATCTCACCAGACGGAGCATGTGACACCAGCTGCATGAGCTGAAATTGCCTCCACTGCACAATTATAAAATACACCCAGGGTACGGTTCCCTTTTTTCACATAGGCACCCTATGTGGAGTTACCTTGATCTCTGTTGGAGCCCACCTACTGTATTTAGCGGTCTGCAGGGGCTCACTTGCAAATTTTATGACCAGAGACCTCTTTATAGACAGTTGTAGTTGCTTTAACAAAAAAAAAGCCATCTAGTTTGCACAGCGAACCATGGCAGATTTATCCATTGTAGTAACAACAACAACAACAACAACAACAACAACAACAACAACAACAACAACAACATATGATGATGATGATGTGCCATCGAGTCAGTTCTGACTTATGGCTACTCTTTTCAAGGTTTTCCAGGTAGTGAAAACTTAGGAGTTGTTTCCCATTCCCTATTTCCAAGGGTGCTCTGGGACTGTGCAGCTTGCCCAAGGCCACCCAGGCTGGCTCTTCTCTTCAGGAGGCGCAGGGGTGGGTGGGTATCGAACACTCCATCTCTGGCTCCATAGCCAGCTTTATCCACTGTAGTAACTATTGAACGGAATACATTAAAGAAGCTTCCACATCATCACTATAATGTATGGGGTGATACTCATTTAACTATTACGGCTTTCTACAAAGAATCCTGGGAATTACAGTTTGATCAGGCCGTGAAGAATTCCTTGTTAAATATCCCTTCTAAAGCTGGACTTCCCGTCCCCCTGCAAATCCTCTGTTGTTCATAAATGCTGGCATTCGTTCGTTTATTGCATTCCGTCAGGCTGGTAAAGAAATGAATGCCAGTGTTGAGGCTTCTGCCGATGGTGCCACTGGTCTGACTGAAAGTCCGCACGACCTCTGATGAGAGTTGATTATTGGCCATGAACTATTTAAAACTCTCCGTTATTTTGTTTGAAGAATCTGATACTCCTG